ACCACAGATTCTCTTTAGTAAAAGGAAAAAACTTTTAATAAAATCCAAAGTCGGTGTTTTCCAGCTCTGGAAAATTGAATGTTGGTTTCTCTTCATCTGTAAGCCATGGACTCTGAAAACATCCTTTAGAGTGGGATGATTAATCTAAATGGAGTTTTCAGATTTATTTTATTTCTTCTTTCTGAAATAAATACATTTCTCAGTGATATTGCTTTCAGTCTGTAAGCTGTTTGTGCTGCTGGAGCAGAGCCCTGTCCATGATGTATACAGATCTTTCTGTTTTTCTTTCATGCTCATCTTAATCTAATCTCTGTTTAACAAACAAAATGGAATAAGAATCTAAAATGTCACCTTCATGGATTCACCAACTTCAGTGACTTTATTTCACTTTGTTCTGAATAGCTATGAATGTTCAAACCTGGACAAAAATACAAGGCAGGATATGTAATGCCAAAAAAAAAAAAAGTAAAAACCAAACTGTTCCCAAACTCATGCGTGCTGCTGCCCCCAAGCAGCATTAGCTTCTGGTCCAGGATGCCTTCTAGAAACCAAAACATTACTCTACCAAATATATAAAGAAAAAACAAATTTTAAAATGTTTTAGTTGGTTTATCCCTTTTAAATTATAATTACATATGATTGGCATAAGAATACCATAAGAACTCAACATTTTCAGCATTAGTTTCCAACTAAATAAGGATTGTTCAACCATGTTTATAGTGCAAAAATAATGGTGCAAAAAAGGCATTAATTTGAAAATCTCAGCGTTTGCACAGTTGTGTACTTTTAAGTTTAAAACATTATAGAAGTGGTTCAATTTGGCCATAAAGCTCAGATATGTGCATGTCTGAGACAGAGTCCAGTTTAGAGTTCAACAGTCTGATGGCGACGGGTGAAAAGCTGCTGCAGAACCCGCTGGACCTGCAGTGGATGCTGGGAAGCCTCTTCCCAGAGGGCAGCAGGGAGAGCAGTCCCTGGTGGGGGGGTGAGGGGTCACTGATGATCTTATGATCAGTGATGTGGTGTTCACACACCTGGAGAGGTCGTTGGTGATGTGAACCCCCAGGATTTTGGTGCTGACCAAGCATTGGAGGCGGGTTCTTCCGGACGAGGATCTCCTTCATGTTCTCTACATTGAGGATCAGGCTGCTGCCGCTGCTCCTCCTCTCTGTAGCCCAGCTCACTGTCGACTCTGATGACGCCCACCAGCAATGTGACATCTGCAGACTTCATAATGTGATTGCTGGTGAACCTAGGGTGTCGATGTGCAGACCTGACCTATGGTCGGTTTATGTACCTTTAAAGTTGAAAAGCCAAAACATGAAAATTGCTAGAAAGACATTTCTTTGCCAAGTGAGTCAAGGGGAGATATTCCTTCAAATTCAAAACTTAGAAATTCCCACGAAGTTTATGATAAACAACATTGAAAGAAAATCTTCAGAGCATTTTGTTAAATTTCAATACTTTAAATCATCAAACAAATGTTAAAATTAGCCAAAGTGAAAAACTAAATATGGTTCTGAGACCACGACTTCTCTTACAAAGTGAAAACGCTTTTTTAACGCACTCCTTCCAATATAGGAGGTTATTAACGCAGCTGTTATCAGATCATTTGAGATGCATTCAAATCGACAACAATAGGGTTATTAGGAATGAACGTGGTGTTCAGGGCCAGGCTAAAACATCTAGAATCAATGTAAGGATGAACTTTGATTAGGCCCAACTATAACCTTAATTTCGTTCTTTTCCCTCAGTTAATCGGCTGTAGGAGTAAAACCTCAGCCTACTGCAACTAAACTGATGGCGGGACATTCCAGAAAGTTAAAAAACAATCCCCTGGACTTTGTTTCCAATTTAAAGACATTTCTCTTCCCATCCAGGAAGCTTTTCAATTCAAAACGTCAGAAATAGGGTTGAGTTCGAAGCTTTATATTCCTCCATGCCCGTCTCAAACCACCTGTCTTCTTTATCCAGAATGTGAACATTCTGGTCCTCCAAAGAATGTCCTCTGTCCATAAGGTGTAGATGTACAGCAGAGTCTTTTCCAGAGGAGGGCGCTCTTCTGTGTTGGGCCATGCTTCTGTGGAAAGGTTGTTTTGTTTCTCCAATATAAAGATCAGAGCATTCCTCACTGCATTGAACTGCAGACACCATTTGGTCTTAGGGTTTTGTCTTTAGGATGCACCAGTCTCTGTTTAGTTAGAAAGCCATCTATGTTAAGAAAGAAAAACTAACCTTAAACAGAGGCGGGGGGGACTCAGATTTTAGCTTTCAAAAACATACAATCCAGCAATAGAGTTGATTCCTTCCCGCTATCATTGCAATCCGAACCACTTTACAGGAACAGAAGACATCACCTGTTCAGCCAGGCCAACTTTTCCCTTTAACGACCCCCCTTTCAGAGACATAGACAGGTATGGGGCATTGCAGGCTAACAAAAGAAACCAAACAACCCCCATTCCAAAGGGGTGGACCCGTTCGTCCGTTTCTATTTCCATGTTTTCTAAACAAAAACAAGGCTTTGTTGGGCTGCTGGATAAAACCTGGAACTCAACGCTGTTTCTGACATTTTGAATTGAAAAAGCTTCCTGGATGGAAGAGAAACGTCTTCAGACTTGGAAATACAGTCCTGTGGATTGTTTTTAAACGTTTTTGGAATAACTATGACCTGGATGGACTGAGAATCTTCACCAGCTAATGTCGGGACGTTTCTCCTCAGCAGACCGAGAGCCGGAGGCAGCAAAGCAGGCCCAGACCATCATACCGCTGCCGCTGTGTTTGTCCCTTAGTGCTTCATCATCAGGTCAGTGTGAACCAGGCTTTTTCACCATCATCTCTCTCAGATCCCACTTTAACACGAGCTCTGTAACGGCTGAACAGAAGAAAATCCAGCTTGGTTTCAATACGTTTCTTCCTCAATAAATAATAAAAAAACAAGGATTTTTGGGAGGAAATGTAAAGCAAGAACAAAAAAGTCAATCATAGCCCTGAACAGCGTATAACTAAAAATACACGTTAAAATCCAAGTAAGGAGAGCAAATAAAAAAAAAATCATTTAAATGTTCAGGAGTCTAAAGACTAATCTGAGAGAAAGAAAAAGTAGCTGAAAATTGAAGAGAACCTTTAAAATTTAAGGAACGTTCCAGATATATTAGTCCACCACTGATCACCTGATCACCCCTGTGTGTTAGCATGATGCTAGCCATTAATAACAGACACCTCGATGGTTTCTGTTAAGCACAGCTTCTCCTATTAGCAGGGGCAGATTTACCAGTAGGTAATACTAGAGTGATGCCAAGGGCCCCAAGTTCCTGGGGGCCCAAAAAACTTCATTTACATGTAACAACTATTCCTTATTGGTGCACATTGTTTTTGATAAAAACCCTTTCTCTAAAATGCCATCAGAACACTTATAATGTTAAGTGTGTCTCAGCCCCCCCCCCTTCAGCGTCCACCATATTGGATCAGTCCATTTGCTGCACATGTTCAGAAAGGTCCAAACAGACAGCAGCAAACCATTTGAAAACAAACCATGCAAAGAGCAGTGTTGCCAACTTAGCGCTTTAGTCGCTATATTTAGCCACTTTTCAGACACCTCTAGCACTTTGATTTCTAAAAAGCTCCTAGCACCAAATCTAGAGACTTTTTTCTACTACTGTAGACTTTGGAGACATCTAAAAGCAGCGAACTCTGCTCTCCAGAGCAAGTAGATTGTTAACCCCGCCTCCTGCTCTCCTCTATCTTGTCTGCTGTCATGATTCATGCAGCTATTATTTCATCCAAATGAAAAATGGAGAACAGAGAAGCAGATCATGGCTTGTCTACAGTGAAAAGAAGGACTGGGTTATTTACTTTGGCCTTTTTGGAAACACAGGAAGGAGCAATCAGCTAAGTGAGCTTAGTGCTTGGAAAAAATCTTTCATTCCTTTAGAGACCGCATGAAAAGTCAGCTGAGGACAAAACATAGAGAGGAAAACAAGAAGAAAAGGGACAAGAAGAGAGGGACACAACCTAGAACAGATAATGGATGTCTATTCTATTTTCTCTATCTGTAGAATGGGTCTGTTTTATGTGTTGTCTTCTCATTTCAGAGCCCTTCCCTGCCTGTCTCTTTGCCAAGGGCCCCAAATTTCCTAAATCCGTCCCTGCCTGTTTATTTTTTAGCTGAAGTGTTGTGTTGCTGCTAAACAGAGGGATTTTCTTCTGATCACCTCCAGTAGAACTGGGCTTGTTGTTAAAGATGATTTTTAGACCTTTCTTATAAATAGACATTATTTACAGCCCAACAAACAGAAAAATGCAGTTATGTTCGGTTTGTTAAAACTTATTGGGAAGCAGCTCTTTAACCTTCCAGAATGTCTGTCTGTGGAAAAAATAACATCTTGATGTAAACATTTAGTTTTCCTGTCATGCGACGCCCAGCATGATGTCCAGTGTGAGGTGAAGAAGGGACTCGGCAAGATGGCTTCTCACACTGAGCCTGGTTCTGATGGAGGTTTATTCCTGTTACAAGGGAGTTTTTCCTTTCTACTGTCGCTATAAGCATTGAAGAGTCAATGAATTGATGCAAGATAGAAAACTTTGAATCAGCCTGACTGGATGACCTGGTGAACTGGAAAGTGCGTTGAAATGTTGTGAATTGGCGCCATAGAAATAAACTGAATAGAATTGTGAGTGAAAGCCGCGTTTGAAACAAGTAGGAAGAAAGGCAGAGATCTGATGTTTGTTGACTTTGGTGTGCAAAAGTATACTCTTTATTCGTATTATATATCCAACTTTATTTTGCCCCGACCCTTCCCCTTCACCCAGCCCCCACAACCAGTGACATTCCCATGTCACCAGTTACTGTCACTGTTACAATAGCCAATCAGAGCTTACCTGCAGAAAGAAGGCAACCAAACAAAGAAGAGCAGAAAAAAATGTTACTTTCAGTTTGTTTTTCTTGTTAAATAGTAATAAATACATTGAGATGCAGTGGTTCTTACTTTATCCTTTTTTTCTTAAGCACAAGGGTTAAAAAGTTTTTCACTTGTTTCTATTTGTTTTTATTTCATTTCTTTATTGATCTGTGTTGGATCTTTAGCAGCAATCCAGACCAGTTGTCATGGTGATTAGCAGCACAGAGAGGAGGAGCTGTCTGGAGGAGAAACACAACAGGAGAAGAAGGAGATCAAGAAGAGTGCAGGGAGTGGATGAAGGATGAGGAAGAGAAGGAGATCCGTTTTGAAAGCTGGCAAGGCATCACTGTCCCGTCGCCTTCTCCGCCCACCTCCACCTCAGCCGCCGGCGGCAGCAGGCGGGCCGCACGGCGACAAACCGTGCTGAACAACAACGCATGTTCAGCCTTTCTCTCTCACAAACCAGCTGCTGTCCTGATGCGTAGACACTTATATATATATATATATATATATATATATAAATAACTACATATATATATTTATATTTTTAAATCCAGGTGTTTCATAAAGAAATGATGACTGTTATATCCAGGTGGGGCGTTTTGCAGATGAAAAAAACAGATGTGTGTGTGCGTTAAGTCTGCTGATAGACGGGGATGGAAATCTAAATCTTATAACGTTAAAAAACAATTGTTTGTTTGTTGAACAATGCTCCAGTATGGAGGAGAGTGGGAAAACAAGGCCCCCTTCATCCCGACTTAAACAAGAAAAAAAAACAACACAAAACTCCTCAAACCTTAGAAAATTCAAATAATATTAATCAAGAATATCTGTTAAAACACACTTATCAATCATTCCTTACAAATTACAGCCGTAAGAACAACAAACAAAGCAGGATAAAAGGAAAAGTATTCCCAGCATCCTTCTCCTCCTTTCTCCTCCTCTCATGCAGAAGAAATCATCTCCTCCAGCTCAAAATTCACCTGTTTGTCTCTGAACTCTGGCTGTATGTGTGTATTTGTAGTAGTTGTAGTTAAAATTGTATGGCTTTAGGGCATGGTTCAGGTTTTATCAAGAGTTGGCCGGCCCTTCGTCTGAGTCCGGCCTCCCTCTGCCCCCTGCAGCAGGGTTATTGTTGTTGGAGGCAGGGTAGTAGTCCTCTGAGGGCGGGGCTTGAGGCCCTGGGGCGGTGGGGGCCGTCCGAGTCCGGAAGGCAGACAGTCCGATTGGCAGAGTGAGGGGCAGAGATGCAGAGCCAAACTGAGAGGCCTCCATGGAAGACACCGCCCCCAGGTGGTGCAGCCCTAGGGACACGCCCACATCCATGCTGTCACTCATCTGGGGAGAGGATCCCTGCTGACCCCCGCCTCCACCCATGCCTGTCTGTCCGCCCTGCCGTAGTCCCCGCCCACCGTTTCCGTGGTGAGAGTAAGTCGGGTGCGGGTGGTGGGGAGGGTCCAAAAAGTGGCGCTGGTGTTGTTGGGTGGCAGCTGGTTTGTGGAGCAGCAACTGGGTGTATGCTGGGTCCTGACCCCCACTTCCACCATCACTGCCCGGCCACATCCTCATCTGCTGCTGGGAGGGAGCCTGTTGGGGGTAGAACCAGAGGGAGGAGACACGGTTCTTATCTGGGTCGGAAAATATTTACAATCCTAATGATGATCATGATAACATTTCTGCCATTAGCGCAAAACAAACAACATTTTACCACTTCAACCAGTAACGAGGAGCAACTGGTCCAATTTAGCCACACGCTGGACTTTTTATCTGTGAGGAAAACTGATCCATAGCGGTAGCACCATCCGTACATAGATCTGCTGGGACCCTGCGCACACTACTGACGTTACGTTACATGATTGTAAAACATTGTGGTTGCCCAGACAACGATAATAATATAATGCAGCGTCTGTGTGCCGAGTCAGGAGCATCTCTAGCGTTAGAGAATCTAATGACCCATGAAGTTTTACCTGATTGATAACAAAACTGAAAAAATCTGTTTCTGTTGAACAAAGCAACTGTTAGACCGTGATAGAAAGAGCTGGGTAGCGCTGTGGCTAGCTGTGCTCAGTAGCTAACAGGTTAGCCTCTTTTAGCTCGCTCAGTTAGCCATATTAAGATGAACTACTTTTAAATTTGTGTCAAAATCAACCGTCATTTTCTACAAGTAGGATAACTTTTTCTTTGTCTAAAATCTCTACAAAAGTCATTTTCAAGATGTTCCATTTGTCCTTCCTGCCCTCAGATCTTAATAAAACAAATAAAAATAAGCTGAGACTTTTTTTTATCACCTTCTTAAATAGCAGAGCTCAGTCTTAGAAGGCAGAACTTTCCTTCAAGACTGATGATTGTTTTCAACTTTGTTACTTTAGATCGCCAATAAAATTTAAAATAATAGCAAATATAGGTAATATGTTGAAACTCCAAAATAGATTTGATCCTTAAGAAACAGGTGCAATACAGTTTGTCCGAGTGGAGTTGCCATATGATGACGTCAGAAGAAGGAGCGGGGCCCCGTGCAGATCTGTACCTACACCGTTTCACCCTTGATTTTACTTTGTAAATAAAGACCTAAATAATTTTTTTTTCTTCCCTTCAAATATTAAGAGTACTAAACTCTAATGTGTTAAAGGTTAATAATGTATCACCTGAGAAAATAACTGCATTAAAAACCTGTTTCATCACTGGTCTGTGCTGGAAAGGGGATCCTACGCTACTTCCCGGAGCTAACTGTTTTGGTTTTGGATTTGAACAAAAATCAAGTCTTTTTTAGTTTAATTTTTTCCTTTGGTGTTAACATTATGTTATATAGCGAGTAATCTAAAGAAAGAAAGAAAACTAAAACACAGGTAAACATGGTGTAATTATATTTTGCTGGACTGCTCTGAGCATGTCTGATGATGACGTCAAAACACCAGTTTAACAGAGAAAATTCTAAAAAAAAGTCACAACAAAAGATGAAGTTTATCATTCTTTTGTAATTTAAGCATAGAAATAAGTACTTTTAGTCCCATAATTACATTATTTATAGCAACCTGGATGAATATCTGCCTGCACATGTGCAAATGAGCTGATGGTACGGATCGTAGTGACACTCATGTCAGAAAGATGAGTGGCACTATGCCTCCAGAAGCTAACGCTAAGTTAGCATTAGCTTTAGCTGAGTGTTTTGCTCTCTACTGCAGAGTCTGGGTGGTCTGTTCCACTTGTTGTTTCTATGTCTGCTTCTTTCTCCTTGAACCCCAGTCGGCCTCAGCAGATGGCCGCTCACACTGAGCCTGGTTCTGATGGAGGTTTCTTTCTGTTCAAAGGGAGTTTTTCCTCTCCACTGTCACTATAAGCATGCTTGGTGTGAAGGATTGCCTTTGAGTACATGAGACGATGCAATCAGCTGGTTTTCCTTAGATAGAAAACTTTAATCCATCTGACAGTATGATCTGGTTGAATTGTAAACTGCCTTGAGATGACATGATGTGAATTGGCGCTATAGAAATAAACTGAGTGAATTGTTGCCCTTAATAATAAATATTATTACCATTGATAATAAATAGTTCTTTGTGTGGTTGTCAGCGCTCATATCATTCCTCCATCTTTTAGTGTCCTAACAGTCACTCAACTGCTTAAATCACTGTAAGTGAAACTATTTCAGCTGTGAGTCTTTTTCTTTCTCTTAATGAATTTTATTTAGTTTCCACCGATTCCACCATTCAGAACTCCACAGAAATAAATGCTAATTTTCTCCTGCTGCTCATGCCGAGCCTCTGACCAAACACTGTTTTCTTGACTAATGTGTGTTTTTTTTTTTTAAGTTGGATTTTTGTCAACAAGTAAAATGATTTAATACTTTTACTGTTTGGGAACTTTAATTGGACATTTTTTGAAACTCTCCTGTTTAGTGGTAAAACGGTCACTTGTTTCCAACTGTGCTTCAGTATTTTGATAAGTACAGAAGTTCGATGGCAAATCCTCCCTCTTCATGTTCGTCCATGGAGGATCAGGAATCAGAAAGGTGAAATAACTCTTTTTTTTTTCACTTTTACCCGATGTATTCCAACATCCAGCTGCCATGCACGTGGGCATTGTCAGTTTCACTATAGCTCTGGTGAATTTCAATGGTGAAGTCCTCTGGAAATCTTCAATAATTGTTGTTGATTGCAGATGTGTCTAGTAGTTCCCATTGATTTAGCTTGGAAAGCGGGGAGAATGGCGCTAGGCTTACCGCACTGTGATGTCACAAAATTTAATGTTTTTATTTTTTTACTGATTAACGCTAAATTCATAAAATCACCACAAATGTCTTAGTTATAGGTATAAATAATGATCCATTGATTATTCCTTGCTGACTGAGGTTTCCCTTTGAAGAAGAGCTTTAAGTTGTGGTTGAGCTGTTCTTTCAGGATAGCTGATAGCTTTTAGCTAGCCATGGCTGCAGCATGCCTACCTGAGGACTGGTCATCTCATAGTCTGAGTGGGTGACAGCAGAGTTGTAGTAGCGGTTGCTGTAACGGTAGTTACGGTTGTCATTGGAAGAACCACTGGAGCCACCTGCAAACAAACAGGACTTACATCAGGGTCATTGTTGTCTTCATTAAACCACATCCATCTTTTAGCTTGATTGAAAACATTTCTATCCTGAACCAGTGAAGCCAGGCAGCCTCAGAGCTCCCTCTGGCTGTTCATAAACCACCAGCGGAGACGCCGACATGCAGCCCAGCTGATAGCAACATGAGCAGAAATATGGAAACATCAGCCCTGCTGATTAGTAAAGGAGGTGGCGACAGATAAAAGCAGCATTAATGCGTTCTTAAAGTATCTGATTGGTTTTTGTATGGATCTATGTCAGAGACCTGATTCTGCTTAAACTTTTCCATCCAGGATCGGATTTTCATACATTTTCCTCTCAGCCGCAGCAGCACTGTGGCTATTTCATGGAGTCATTCCTGCACCAGAGGTCAGGCAGAACGGGCAGAGTGTGTGGACTTTTACCAGAGCTAGAAACAGAGCTAGTAGTGGAGGTTGAATGCGAGTGGTCCATGGCAGGAGAGGTGGATGTAGATGAGCTCGTGTTGGTTCCTTCATCTGTCGTTTTCTTGAAGAAATTGTGCTGCAGGGCGTAAAATGGCGTAATTCGGCTTTTAGGGTCGTAGTCCAGCATGCGCAAGATCAGATCTGGAAGAAGGAAAAAAAGCACCATCAAATGCATGACCGCTTTGGATGGAAACTACATTTGGTTTGATCAGAATCCTGATAAAAGGAGCCACTGTTCTAAATAATCATGCTGAAGCCTGCACTGCCCACTTTTTAAAAGTTTTTTTAAAAGTCATCTCAGTAAGAATGGTTATATATGAAAACAGCTTTCAAAATGAAAGGCTCCCACTTTAGTTTACCTTCTGCAGCATTTTGAATCCATGTGATCACATACCTTTAAACTTCAGGTAGTCGCAGGGGGCGTGTCCTGGCTCTCCTGCCCTCCGCCCTCCTGGGCCTCCAGTCTCTACACCTAAAATCTCATGAAGACGACGTGTAGCTGGAGGTTTATATTCCTGGAGAACACAGACACATTAAGGGATTTTACTTCCACAGAAGTTCAGCCTAAACCTTTAGATGCTAAAATATTTTCCTCTCTAGATAACAGAGCAGCTATTATCTTAGCATTTGGCAATGATTAATAATCGGATAGTCAAAGGTTCCTAAAAGAAGACTCAAATTAAATCAGGTTCTCTCTTCATCCTCTGACATGGGAGCTGGCTCGGAGCTCGTCTGCCTGGCCATGTGTTTCCTGGACGGGGCCGCCTTTTATAGTTGTCTTTTCTATCTCTGCTTATTTCTTCCTGTTCAAAAGGAGTTTTTCCTCTCCACTGTCACTATAAGCATGCTTGGTGAGAAGGATTGCCTTTCAGTCAATGAGTCGATGCAATCAGCTGGTTTTCCTTTGATAGAAAACTTTGAATCAATCTGACTGGATGATCTGGTGAACTGGAAAGTGACCTGAGATGACATGTGTTGTGAATTGGAGCTATAGAAATAAACTGAATTGAATTGAATTAAAGGCACATTTTACAGTCACTATAATCAAGTTAGCGATTAATCGATCACTAACTCGATCAATCTGATTTACTGTTTCAGCCCTACTAAGATACGGATGGTTGAGTCCTAATGGCGTCCTAAAGCAAGGATGCGATCAGCAGCAACTAAGCTCCAACCCAGAAGCCTCTGAGGATGCATATCTGAACTGATCAGACTGTGATGATCCATCAGAGGTCAGAACCACTGCTATCATGGCCTGATTCAAAGCTGTGCAGCTAAACTAACAACATGACTTCAACTCTGGAATCTGAAAAATAGTATTTTCCTCCTAGAGTACTTTTCTATTTCATAAAACAATAGGTGTCAGAAGGGAGTTTTTCCTCTCCACTGTCTCTAAAAGCATGCTTAGTGCGAGGCATTGTCTTTGAGTCGATGCAATAAACTGGTTCTCCTTAGACAGAAAACTTTGAATCAGTCTGATCATGTGAACTGGAAAGTGCCTTGAGATGACGTGTGTTGTGAATTGGTGCTATAGAAATAAACTGAATTGAATTTGAGATATATGAATATTTAGATAAATAAACATAATAAAATTTGGGAGGGAAGGCAGATCAAAACCATTCTCACCTTCTTGACATCCTTGTTCTTCTTCACGGTCCATAAGCCATCTGACAGCTTGTCAAAGTACTTCCTGGCTTTAGGAGCTGCATCCAGCATGTGGCTGGGTGGGACCCCCAAGACCTCCACAATCTTGTTCATCTGGTCGACCTGTTCAGGTGAACGAACACTAAGGCTCAGTCTGGTGGAGGGAAGCTATGATGCAGTAGAAAAGGTTCAGACTGTTTCATCCACTTACCTCGTTGGAGCCGCTGAAGAGAGGCTCTCCTGTGTGCATCTCTACCAGGATGCATCCCAGAGACCACATGTCGATAGCCAGGTCATACGGCATTCCCAGAAGGACCTCAGGAGAGCGGTAAAACCTGCTCTGTATGTACTGATAGATCTGGGGAGAAGAGACAGATGGAGATGGATGGTTGGAAAAGCCCACAGTGACGGAGGCCGGCTGCTTTATCCAGTTTTTAATACAAACAATAATCTACTTTTTATTTTTATTTTAAAGCGCTCTGCAACAGATGAGCAGCAGAATGTAGCCGAATGTGAGCAAGATTTAATGGAGGAGCTCTAGTTCTACTCAGTAGGGGCGGGCAGACAGTAACCAGGGAAACAAGCAGCATGTATGAAGGCTGAGTATCTGCAGGTGACCCAGGAATGGAAAGAGACCCCAGTGCTTATTGGGAATAAGCTGATATTAGACTGAATGAACTACATCTTGTATTTGCCACCAGGTGTTTGTCTAGGACCAGCCTTAATGTTATTGATAGAAATATATAATCCAGATTTAAACCATTTCCTAGAGCTGTAACAGATAGAGCATCCAAACTCAGCCCCACTAATGCTCTGTTCTGGTAATACTTTGCTGTGCGGCCTGTGGATCTCGAAAGGCTCCAATGAAACCAGTGAACCCGGAGAATGGGAGACATGATCTCTACTGGGTTTTTATCCTCAGACAGAAGTTCTGGTTCTGGTCCGGAATTACTGACATGCGTAGAGCTTATTAACACCGACGAGGCTGAAGCTCAATGCTCAGAAGCAAAGGTGTCATTAGGTTTGGATGAAGCTGTCAGAGTTTAATGGAAACCACAGAAACCTCACAGCTCAATATGTCCCAGATTTTAAAGCTGACCTACAGGACTATCTAAAGGAAAGTCCGCTCATATTGAGAATTCAAACTTCTGAAAGTTCTTTAAATACGAAATTATTCCATCCTGTTCAATAAATGATCAGTGTTTTTAATTCAGAGTAATTTTCATGTGAATGTGCTTTACTGGAGGCATCCATGTTTGTCAAAGAACACTACTGCCACCTACTGGTTTGTGACGTCACGGTGCGGTATCGGTTGTTTATCAAGTCCCAGTGCTGTATCTGGTGTTTGTCACAACGCGCTATTATCCAAGTCATCTTGAAAACATTCTTCTTCCAAATGTCGGCTACATATTACGTGTTTTTTCTCTGGCCAGAAGTTCGATGGCAAATCCTCCCTCTTCAAGTTGGCGATCCAACGACCAACCCGTCCGTGGATTATCAGGACTCAGAAAGGTGGAATAACTCTTTTCTTTTTTCACTTTTACCCGATGTATTCCAACATCCAGCTGCCATGCACGTGGGCATTGTCAGTTTCACTATAGCTCTGGTGAATTTCAATGGTGAAGTCCTCTGGAAATCTTCAATAATTGTTGTTGATTGCAGATGTGTCTAGTAGTTCCCATTGATTTAGCTTGGAAAGCGGGGAGAATGGCGCTAGGCTTACCGCACCGTGACGTCACTGCTGGAAGATGGCAGGAGGGAGGGGCTACTATATTTGGGCAAAAATGGCCGCTCCCTGACTCAGTGATCGCAACGAAATTTATTGTTTTTATTTTTTTACTGATTAACGCTAAATTCATTAAATCACCGCAAATGTATTAGTTTTAGGTATAAATAATGATCCATGATTATTCCTTGCTGACCAGACTTTTCCTTTAAAAAATAAAAATTTAATCAGGGAAGAACCAGGTTGCAGCTCAGCGAAGCACAGGCTCATTTTTATTGCTGTTAATGAACACATTTAATTGGGAGGAAACTGAGCTCGTTATAAATTCAGGACCTGGAGGACAAAAGAACCAGGAAGTCTGTCACCTAGCATGCAACGCTTAAAGCAGTTTAACGCCTCCCCCCACCCGGATGGGAGGACTTTAAAGAGAGGACGACTCTCACCCTCTGTCCCAGCTGACAGGAGGATCCAAAGTCGACTATTTTGATTGCAGATCTTTTGGGGTTACACAGAAGGATATTCTCTGGTTTCAGGTCGCAGTGGATGATTGACAGCTCTGGAGTTGCCAGGAATAACAATGCTGAATGCAGAAAAAGGAAAACATGATGCACATATATTAAAAACAGAGTTCTTTCTTCATCCATCCATCCATCCATCCATCCATCCATCCATCCATCCATCCATCCATCCATCCATCCATCCATCCATCCATCCATCCATCCATCCATCCATCCATCCATCCATCCATCCATCCATCCATCCATCCATCCATCCATCCATCCATCCATCCATCCATCCATCCATCCATCCATCCATCCATCCATCCATCCATCCATCCATCCATCCATCCATACTGGATTATATCGTCCTCTGGTTCTCAGCTGCTCAGTTTGACTGTTTTTTTTTTTTTTTTACCATTTCAGATCTCAACTTTCAATCATTCTGGTTTTATTTGAGTCTGTATTCAGTTTAAAACGGGCTGCGTAGTCTTTAGGAGGTGGTCTGTGTTTCCTTCCACCCACCTGTGCAGAGCTGCTGTGCAAATTTCCTGGTGAGGTTGAGAGAAACTCCTCTGAAGTTGGTGTTCCGCAGGAGATCATACAGGTTGTAGCTCAACAACTCAAACACCAAACACAGATGGTTCCTAAACATAAAGTGACGCTTCAGGTGGACTGCACAGAGACAGATTGACAGACAGACACAAAGATAGATGGGAGAAAAGGATGCAGGTTAAGAGACGCAATAAGCAAGGTGGGCAGAACTGTTAAGCATCAGGAATGGTTTCAGCTCTAATGCTGACTTAGAACCGCCTCTCTCTGTGTCCACAGGTTTATAAAAATCATCAGAATTTGAATACAAAACACTTCATTTCGTAATAATTCTTGAATTATACAAGTGTTATATAATCTATTTCTTTTCAGTTTTAATCCGTGTGTTTCAGGTGCCCTCCTGCTCTTTAAAAAGGGGGCTGCAAACCTTTGATTACTTATTAGGCTCCACATGTTTGACCAAATGCTTTGGAAAAGAGCTTTAGAGTTGATTCAAAGCCCCCCATCATAAAGAGAGCACCAGGAACGGCCCTAAGCTGAGTGAATGGAAGCAGCAGGTCGGCTGCTCTGGTATTACAGTTTCAAGCTGCAGCCACTAGGTGGCAGTATTGCACCGAGCTGTAACCCAGTAAGGCAGAATCAGATGCTGCCAGCAGCCAGTGGCCCTCACTCTGGTTCAAAGGGTCAAATGAAGTCATGAAGTGGTCGGTGAGGAAAACACTTTAAAGGACAAATCCTTTCAATTCTCAGCTTCAAATTATTTTCTATGAATGTTTCTCTTTCATTCCAGGTTTGTCTGTTGTTATTCAACCTTTTCTATGCTGGTTTGTCTTACATGGTAGAATCTATGATGTTTTTTCTTTTTCACACTTTTAGGTATAAAGATTTAGAAAAGCTGAGGAGCAGCTAAACCTTTATGGATCCAAATCCAAGAACTGGGAGGAACTTTTTTTACCTGAACTCTGTGAAAAACTAAAAGGTGAAAACAGAGCCTTGACCGCAGATCCAATTTAATCTCAAAATAAAACTCCCCACATGGAAAAGCTGCTAAGCAACAGGCTCTGAAGTGGATTTCATATATTTTAAGCATTAGAATTGAAGCTCATCATCAGAGAAAGCTGAGATAGTAAAAACTCTGTGTTATTAAAAGCAGTAAATAAACTAAGCAGCAGCTTAGAGCCTTTTTCAGGCGTCCCCACTTTTACAATCTGACTGGACTCTTCTAAAGTCGCCAGATTATTGGCAGGAACTTGGAGGCTGCAGCGATCATAACTCATCTGGTTCTACATTTCTAAACCAGCTGAATCCTTCCCAGTTAAAGAAGCCAACCCTGCATTGACCGACCAGCTCTGTTTGAAGCAGCCTAAACCCCTCATGCTGGATGCTCTCTTACCAATGTAATATTTCATCTCCGTGTCATGCTTGTTCATGAGCTCCAGCAGGCGTAGTTCAATCTGTGCCTGGTTTAGAAATGCCTTCTTGTTCTTGATGATTTTAATGGCGACCCACTCCTGCTCGTGGTGGTCGTAGGCCTTCACTACCTGGAGACAAACAAAAACACAGACCATGTGTTTTTATTACCTGCTAAAGAGATGTGGCAGCAGTGGTTTCTACGGAGCCATAAATGACGGCGTAGGCACCAGATCGGCAGATATGGCAACCCCACTCGGACAAACTGTATTGCACTCGTTTCTGAAGGATCAGATCTATTCTGGTGTCTCAACATATTATTACCTATATTTGCTATTATTTTACATTTCATTTGCGATCTAAAGTAGCAGAAAGTAGGAAACAATCATTGTCAGTCTTGAAGGAAAGTAGTGCGTTCTAAAACAGACTGAGCTCTGCTATTTAACAAGGTGACAAAAAAGTTTCAGCTTAATTTTATTCTTTTTATTAAGATCTGAGGGCAGAGGAGAACAAATGGAACGTCTTAAAAACGACTTTTGTAGAGATTTTTGACAAATAAAACAAGTTATTCTACTTGCAGAAAACAAACTCTTGTCGTTAAGGCAAAGTTAAAAGTTATGTAGCTTAATATGGCTAACTGACTGAGCTTAAACAGGCTAAGCTGTTAGCTGCTAAACACAGCTAGCCACAGCGCTACCCAGTAGAACTTCGCTGCGTGATGTTATTATTGTTGTCTGGGCAACCACAATTTTTTACATCATGTGGCAATGTTCAGCCAATCATGTAGCATAACGCCAGTGGCAGGAAGCAGGACCAGAGCAGATCTGGGATCTACACCAGCAAACCAAATTTGGGAAGAGTTGCATTTCCATAAGTGGCTTAAATCATTATCTTCAACATTTCAGAGCAGAGAGATCGCCACAGCTTCTGTAACGCCTGCTATTCAGCTGGCAGCAGGTTGAAAAGCGGAGGTGGTGTCATTAGTTTAAGGTTAAACAGTGGAGCGACGGGGCAGGTTCCTCCCCGAAACAGCTGCTGTGGGCCCTCCCATCCGATGCTCTCACCTGTCCAAAGGAGCCCTTCCCAATCAGTGAGTCGATCTCATAGCGGTCCAGCCACTTCTCTCCGTTTTTCACTATGTAATCGTAATTGTCGTCATCATAGCCGTCATTGTAAACTTTTTTCTCCTTTTTCGTGCTGCTATCCTCAGGAGGGACTTGCTGGGCCCGCCGCTTCTTCTTCGTATAGTATACCTGTAAACATGAGCAGAAGTTAGGCAGCCCCGCCTTTAAACCAGGTCATTAATGATCACTGATCTGAAGACCGTCAGTAAACCTGACAACCTTATCATTTAGGAATCACTGACCCAGAACCACATAAAGAGCTCATTTCAAAGCTTCCTCAGAGCGAAACTGGACAACCAGCGCTCGCATTAGCAGACCGTAAAACTCTTAACAGATCGTCAAAAACCGGACTTCATATCAGAATCAGCTGCTTCTGTTTCCTACCTCATTGATGTGCTTGTAAGTTTTGATAAGGTCAACTGAGAGTTTCCTCAATGGGGCGCTGGCAGGGTCTCTGAAACTAGGGGGGATCCTCCGCTGGAGTATGGTCATATCAGACAGCACCTAGAGAGACAGAAACAGGTGGAGATCAGACCACATGGGACCGGTGGAGGGAAACCAGTGGTTCTGGTACCAGGGTGGACGTTTCTACCAGGAGACGACGGCACACGAGGTCAGAACCTACAGTCCTGGCCAGTAAACCTGTCCTACTGAAACGTTTTGGCAGAAATCAGGCCACCTGGTTTAGGATTTTTGATCCGTTTGCTTTTCTCTGTAAAACATTCAGTCCAAACTCCTAAGCTTTGCTGGAAGTTTCTTTAGAAGAGCTTGAAGACCAAACTTGGTGAGGAACATCTCGTTCTTCTCCTCTCTGTCCATCCTGGATGGATTGAGATCATCCGATGTAAACAAGCCGCATGGAGGCGCTTCCAGGCTTTTTAATCCTCTACTGTCATGAGATCATGGTCACAGGAGTCCACACTTATTAGGTCAAAGAACTGGGACAGGTCCAAATGTGCCGTGTCCTGGATGACTCAGAACCTCCGCTGGCAAACTGGGACAGGTTCTCTGTATCCAGCGCCTCATGACACGGCAGGAAAGAGCTGCTGAAGACCCCTCTGCACTTCTTTGTTGAGGGGCTTTAGAGATCCTCTGATGTCCTATATAGACGTCTGGCGATGACATCATCAGCAGCCGCTTCATTGGTCCGGCCGGGTGATGGCAGGAAGTAACGTACCTGGAGGGGTCCTCATCTTCACTGTTTTCATGGTGTTTTCTTCTATTGCAGCAGTTGAGCTGGATGGGAGCTCTGAAGAAACGCGTCGTTTCCGTGTCCCTAAAGGCCTGAACACCTGAGGCTCAGAGCTGAAACTAAGGGCCCTGTCACACCTGGCTGATTTATCCAGTGTGTGCCTGACTTTCCACAATCTCCTAAAACACTGGCAAATGCTTTCTATAGATTTTTTTCAATTTTTGGCATATAAACAAAGTATTAATAACGAGTCCAGAACTTGTTTCCAATGACAGCCTGACTTATGCATAACGCACCGCAGCGTAACGCCATGAAGCGCCCTATCTGCATAAAAAGATTTATTTGATCATATTAACCTAGCTGCTGTTTACCAACCGCCAAATAAAAAAAAAAGAATAAATAAAAAGAAGGAAGGTTTTTGGTGGCAGCAGATTCAGCATCATGTCTGCTAGGAAGTGTGTTGGTGGTGGGCGTGAACGCAGGAAGGATCCATCACCCTCACCTTCTGGCTCACCCTATGATGGGGATGAAGTCTGGAGGAGAACTGACGGTTTCCTCCTGTGAATCTCCTTAATACCAAAACGCTGCTAATACGCCATTATACAGTAGCTGGAAGGTAGAAACACGTTCAGCGCTCGTCTGGAACACGTCAGATACCTTGATATGCATTGGAGAGAAGTTCTGGATAAGTTACGCTGAAGTTACTCAGAGGTTTAGGATAAACTAGACGCCACGACTGATGAGGAACTGAGACTGAACGGATGTCAACCATCAGATAACTGATGGCACACGTCGGGAAATTTTGAACTCCCTCAAAATTTCTCGATGTGTGCCAGCATGCTTCAGCTTGTTTCATTGTGCTCATAACTTATACAATACGTACCCATAACTTATCCTACATATGGAAGCATTTTTGCTAGATTTTTGCTACGTCAGGCATACGTTGGTCTAAATGGTCAAGGTGTGACAGGGGCTTAAAGACCTGAGCCTGTGAGGCTCAGAGCTGAAACTAAGACCAACACGTAAAAAGCAGAAGTTGGTTCCTGGCATTCAAGGAAGGGTGGGACTGACGAACCTCACAACAACGTTAAACAGGACCACCTCCTGCTTGAAACTGCAGAGTGGACGGTTCTGTGTCTGTAGATCATTAACTGACCCCATCCCCAAAACCAAAATCACACTGTAGATCCTTTACCTGCTGCTGCTCGGCCATGGAGTGGATGGAGCTGAAGGAGGGGTGTGTGTGTGTGTGCTGGCTGGTCATGGCTGGCTCAGCGAGGGAGAAGCCCTGGGCAGTGGAGGAGGAGGAGGAGGTGGAGGAGGAGGAGGAGGAGGTGGGTGGACATCCTGAGCTGCTTGCACCTGTGGAGAGAAAAAAGCGAAACCCTGAATCCTCCTCTGTTCTAACTCAGCTCCTACCAGCCACTCGTCCCACAGACGTCTGAGAGGGAACGTTACAGGAAGCGGCACGGATGCAGTAGCCGTCACCATTAAACGCTTCTTTAAAATGGATTTGCATGCAATTGTTCGTCGAATCATTTGCGCATTCAGCAGCCGTGCTGTAAGATCACGTGAAGCGCATGCATCGCCGCTCCCTCTCCTCCATCTGTGGGTAACATTTAGCTTATTTCATGTTTAAAGTGAAACATTTGTCATTGTTACTTTTATCATGTGAGTGGCAGCTAAAACAGAAAAAAAAACAAGTGAAACAGCAGCTAATATCGGGGATCGATTTGACCAATGTCAGTGTCGCCATCAATAAAGCTAAATTAGCTCCAACTTTGTTTGGTTTAGTGGTTAAAAACTTATCTTCCTGCTCTCTACTCAGAAACTCAGGAAAGAAAAAAAATATATATATAAAAAGGCAGGAGAAGCTTCAACTTTGATTGGAAAATGTTAAAAATCTAAAAATTTCATGGAAAGTTTATCCTTAAGATGGTAAAAACATTCAAATCTGCAAGGGGAGTGTTGGCCTAGTGTGTTAGAGCAGTGCGGTGAGCAAGACCCTTAACCCCCGACTGCTCCCCGGGCGCTGCACAATGGCAGCCCACTGCTCCCCAAGGGGAGGGATCAAAATGCAGACAACGAATTTCCCCATTGTGGCCCCATAAAGGGATTTTCAAACAACTCGGAGGAGTGAATAATGGCCGCACATGCCAAGGATACAACAGACCCATAAAAAAAAAGTTTTATTTTCTGATAGAAACGTCTCTGGGCGTTTTAGTGTCCACATCACAAACCAGCAGCTGGAGCATGATGGGTCCATCATGACAGGCCTCCTCCACCTTCAAATAATCCGGACCAACTGGACTGACTCCAACCATCTTAAAATCATAGACCTGACATATATTTTGGAAGATGATCCCGGTTCAGCTGGAGGTTTCTTAATATTAAAAGGGAGTTTTTCCTCTCCACTGTCGCTACAAGCATGCTTAGTGTGAGGGATTGCTGAAGAGTCAATAAGTCGATGCAATCAACTGGTTTTCCTTAGATAGAAAACTTTGAATCAATCTAACTGGATGATCTGGTTGAACTGGAAAGTGCCTTGAGATGACATGCTGTGAATTGGCGCTAAAGAAATAAACTGAATTGAAATGAATTGAAATAAGGACTGAAAATGGGGTCTAAATGTAACCAACATCCCCGTATTTGGCTGTTATGATTCAGCCCCATTGTTTAACAGCAGTCTAAACCAAACCTAGAATGCATTTTGCATTTGGCTTGGCTGAACAGGAGAGGTTTTCTGTGCCCCTGTAAAGGGGTTGGGGTTTTTAGTAACGTTTTGAAATGAAAAGCTTCCTGGATGGGAAGCGAAATGTCTTCAAACTTGGAAACAAAACCAGTGGATTGTTTTTTACTTTTTTGGAATGACTGTGACCTGGATGACTGAGAATCGATAGGAGACGAACACACTTCAAGCGTTTTATCGCCATCTAAAGGGCTGGAGGGAGAGATTTAGCATCTTACTCTTGAAAATTGTGTTTTGTTAAATTGCGATTATTTTGCAAACGCAATTAATTGGCCAGCCCTATTCTGAACCGTCACCAAAGCCTCTTGGCAATACTTCCCTATTTGACCTGCAAACTCTGGGGAGAAAAGGCAAACATTATCTGACCCCCAATGATCCTTAGTTTAGTTCTAGCTGTAGAAACTGAAACCATCTTCTGATTTTAAAAATGGTCGTCCTAAAACAGAAACGGGGGATGACTGGATTGATCCAATATGGCTGCTCCTTTAGGCAGCAGCTTAATACAGCTCTCTACCCCTCACCCCCCCCCCACTATGGACTGGCTTCCCTGCTGCCCTCTGGGAAGAGGCTTCACAGCCTTCTATGCAGGTGGAGCAGATCATTCTGCAACAGCTTTTTCCCACCACCATCAGAAAGCTTAACTGATAAAAGAAACTCTAAATCAAGCAACAGATTCTGCATCACACTGATGACACCAAACCAAAAAGAAATTAACTAAAAAAATGTTTTTATACTGTATTTTGCACCATATATATTTATCTTTGCACTAGGAGTCTGAGAAAAAATCTTTTTGGTGATATATCGCGTTTTTGGCTGCCCGATATAATATCCATCTTTCAGTTCCTAGTATTGTTTTTTTTTTTTTTTTTTTTAAATATGTGACCTAAAACAATGATAGAAAATGGGCTACCTCTGTGCCGCCACTCTTGCAGGTAGCACTGGGCAGCCCTTTTGCTGTGCGCATAGCGCCATATCTGTAGTTGAGGCGGTCACAGTGGAAAACATGGACTGACTCAAACCCCCAAACAACATGGATACCAAAATACCTAAATGATCATTATCTTCTGATGAACATATACAGCACTCGCTTTTTTTTATCTATAAATTAAATTTTGACAGAAGGGAAAACTATTAACATATAGTGATATTGCAATATTGTAATAATACTGCATCGTGACCAAAGTATGGCAACACCCATGCCGATACTCATCCCTACTTTGCACCGCTCTGAACTTCCATATCAATGCATTTAGCACCATGTTTTTCTCCCACACTGTTTACATTTAATCACTGCTGCACTTAATGAAATGGAAATGTTCATTTCACTGCTAAGCTGCTGCTTATTTCACTGCCTGAAAGCTGCACATAACCAAACTGTGTTTTATATACACTCTGAGTACAAAATAACAAAAAAAGCTGTCCAAGTCAGCAATGGTACGTGGCTGCTGGCCTCTCTTCTTTCTGAATAATGTATTTTTATTCTCTCTAGATCCTCAGTGTCCAATCCAACATTTTACAAGTTTTACAAGTATTTTTTTCTAAGAGAAACTACAACTTTTTTATGAGCAGACACGTAGCATCTCAACATGACTCTGCTCTACCTCCTTCAAAAAGCTTTACGGACTAAAAAAAAAAAAACAACGGATGAAAACTGTCCTGACTCCAACAGCCGATGATAAAACTAAATTATTCATCTCAGGATCTTTCTCTTCCTCTACATTAGCAATGGATTGTTCACAATGTTTTTGTCCTTAAGTAGAAATCCTCCATGAATATTAACTGGTATGGGTATTTCTACATGCATTCAGACTCCATCCAGCCTTTTGGAGATACACCGGAAACAAAAGACCAACTTTCCTCCTTGGCATGTCTGTAGGTTTAGCAGAGCACCGGTCGTTCACCGTTTGTCTGTGTCAGGTGTGTTAAAAAAGGGATGCATGGAAAAGCTGTAGGGCAGTGGAGCACCAGGACCAAAGATTGGAAACATGGGACTTCCTCCTGCACATCTGGGAGAAACACTGAGGTTGCAAAAAAAAAAACCTTTCCAAGGAAATCATGTCTACAGTCAGATGGATGAATGAACCAATGATGCAGAAACAGTTATTCAGCATAGAAAATACACTCAAGAATTTAGCTGCGGTTTTGGTTTACTTCCTGCAGAATACTGAGCCTTGTGCTACCTTCAGACCGCATGCAGCAGGAGCAGCAAAAACGCGCGTGCTGCTTCGTTTTTGATGCTTGTACAAGATTAGTTCTGATACGCGGCTGAAGCATCTCTGCTGCTCTGGCTGCGTGGTCAAAAAGTGGGTTTGATCCTATCCTAGACCCTGTACACTAGCGGCGTACCCCGTGTAACATGCCCATCAGATGCTCAGAAGCTCATGAAGCACTGCACCTACTGCTCAAAGCGCTGCAGGACCTTTTGCTGCGCCTTGATGTGCGTCAACCATTGACTTTGGATGTAAACTAGCTACTTCTGCTGCTCGCAGTCTGAAAGTAGCATTATGGTCCAAAGATATCAATGCATAGTTCCTGTAAGAATTAATCATGTCTTCACTGTCATCCCATCAAGCAGCAGCATAGCTGTGTAACACCAGAAACCAAACTGTTTTAGAACTTATCTGGACCAGGGGCGTCTGGGCGGGAATATCAGATGAGAAAGAATAACTTACAGAAACAGCAGCTGCTTTCCAGCTCTTTAACAACGAGCAGCTTGTTTCTCAAAGTGGCATCTTCAGGTCTGCTTGTTTCCTTGTTTTTAAGAAGAGATTAATAACCTGATGGCAACAGGTGTGTCACAGATTTCTTTATTAAATCTGAACCACAAACTACGACGCTTGAGGAGCTGAGAATAAAAAATATTTAAAGATAAAGAAGGTTTTTATTCTTTAATCCAAACGGTATATATTTCCTGCAGTTTTGCCCAAATCACTGCTCTAAGTGAGTTTGTTTACTCCACTGAATAATCTGATCACTAAACTGTTGATTAATACAATGGCTACTGAATCTGCAGAGACAATTATCACATCAGATGATCATGGTAGAAATCTTTAAACTAGGACTTGTTTCCCATCAAAGCCTTTTCTTTTCACTTTGCTGGTTTTAATGATGGATCATCAGGTGTCCGATGTAACCAGCAGGTCCTGAGATCATCATGTCTACAGGACGACTGAGGAGCAAGCTAAACTTAACTTTGGACTGGACGAGGCAGGCTGTGCACCTACTGCAACACTGAAAAGGGGTCAGCAAACAAGCAGCCAAAACAGGACATGTGAGGCCTGCTGTCCAGCTCGTATTACAGCTCACCTACTGACAGGAAGATTTACAGCAGGCAGGGAGCAGCCGCATGGAGACGGCTGAAAAAACGCATCCCCCCAATTATATGAAGAGTGGTGTCTTTAAACTGCCTGCAGAAAAAGATGTCTGCAGGTGTGCGAAAGAGAAAAATGACAGCAAAAATTAGCTAGGAAGGAATTAGATGGGGAAAGATCTTCTGTTTTTACTTTGAACCAAAAAGGATGCTGACACAAACAGTGACGGCGTCCTGTAGCATTAACCTTTTCAAAACATGGTGTGGATCGTGAAAAAACACTCAACCGCCTGAGACAGCTGA